GGCCGCCTCCGTATCCCGCCTCATCCGTGACGTCGCGGCGGCGAGGGCTGCCCCCGGTAGGGAATGGCGTTGAGCTCCCTCTGTCCGCAGTCTCGGAAAGACGGCAGGAGCTGTGAGGAATAAAAAGTACTTGGCAGCATCGACGTAGGGCGTTTTGTGTGATGACGACAGGCGCTTAAGGGAAATAAAAAACGAATGTGAGAAGATGTGTCATCTCTGTTCCCGGCAGCCGAGAGACCCACGCTTCCCCGGCCTATCGCAGTCACTCCCGTGGCTTTGGTTGCCAACCACACGCTGAGTCTCCAGCTCAGACTTCTCCCTGAGCTTCACCCCTGTGCAGCCAAGTATACAGCAAGCATCCTGCACACTCCACAGACACTGCAAATGCAGTACGTCCAACACTAGTCCCACCACCATCCCCCCAAGAACTGCACTTTCTCCTGTGTTCCCTGTCTCTGTGAATAAATGGCACCCTCACCCTTCAGCTACCCAAGAGCATGTGCGTCATGCCTCACACCAAGCAACTGCTCAGCGCCACACGGCCACTCCCGCACTGAACATGAAAGACCCCGCCATTTCATACACTGATAACTCCCAAATCACCACTTCAATCCACTTTCTCCCGGACTCCAGAATCCTACGTATACGATTGCCTATTAGGTATTTCCACTTGGATGTCACTTAGTCATAGCAAACCTACCATGTCCAACACTAAGCTCCAATACGCCCTCTCCACCAAAATTCTCCCTGCATAGACTTTGCTGGCTCAGCGAATGACACTTTCATTCTTCCAGGTCCTCAGACTAAAAACCTCATCATCCAGACCCTTCTGGGTTTTTTTGTTTGTTTGTTTGTTTGTTTTTTGAGACGTCCACTGCATTGCAGCCTGTGCGATGGGAGCGAGACTCCTTCTCAAATAAATAAATAAATAAATAACAATCAACAGTCGGGGCAGTGGCTCAGGCCTGTAATCTCAGCACTTTGGGAGGCTGAGGCGAGTGGATCACCTGAGGTCAGCAGTTCAAGACCAGCCTGGCCAACATGGTGAAACCCTGTCTCTACTAAAAATACAAAAATGAGGCCGGGCGGGGTGGCTCACGCCTGTAATCCCAGCACTTTGGGAGGCCAAGGTGGGGGCGGATCACAAGGTCAGGAGGTCGAGACCATCCTGGCTAACATGATGAAACCCCGTCTCTACTAATAATACAAAAAATTAGCCAGGTATGCTGGTGGGCACCTGTAGTCCCAGCTACTTGGGAGGCTGAGGCAGGAGAATGGTGTGAACCCGGGAGGCAGAGCTTGCAATGAGCAGAGATGGCGCCACTGCACTCCAGCCTGGGTGACAGAGCAAGGCTCCATCTCAAAAATATATATATATACAAAAATTAGCCAGGCACAGTGGCATGTGCCTGTAATCCCAACACTTTGGGAGGACAATCGCTGGAACCTGAGAGGCAGAGGCTGCAGTGAGCCAAGATCGCGCCACTGCACTCCAGCCTGGGCAACAGAGCAAGACTCTGTCTCAAAAAACAAAAAACAAAACAAACAAAAAAAAAACACAAAAAAAACAGAAAACAAAAACAATCAACAAATTAGGACTAGAAGGGAACTTCCCCTGCCTAGGCATCTATGAAAAACCAAGCTAACAGCACTGTCAATGATGAAAGACGTTTCCCTAAGTTTTTCCCCTAAAATGAGAAACAAGACAAAGATGTCTGCTTTTGCCAATCTATTCAACATGGTACTGAAGTAACTCGCCAGAGCAACTGGGCAAGATAATGAAATAAAAGGCATCCAGATTGGAAACGAAGAGATAAAACTATCTCCATTTACAGATGATATGATGGTTTATATAAGAAAACCCCAAAGAATATAGACACAAACTATTAGAACTAATAAATGACCCGGCGCAGTGGCTCATGCCTGTAATCCCAACACTTTGGGAGGCTGAAGCGGGCAGATCACGAGGTCAGGAGATCGAGATCAGCCTGACCAACATGATGAAACTCCGTCTCTACTAAAAATACAAAAATTAGCCGGGCATGGTGGTGTGCACAGGAGAACTGCTTGAACCCAGGAGGCAGAGGTTGCGGTGAGCTGGGATCGCACCACTGCACTCCAGCCTGGGCAACAGAGTAAGACTCTGTCTCAAAAACGAAAAACAAAAAAGAACTAATAAATGGTTCAATGAAGTTGCAGGATACAATATCAAAACCAAAATCAGTTGTATTTCTATGTACTAGCAATGAACAATCCAAAAATGAAATTAAGAAGACAACATCACTTATAATAGCATCAAAAAGAATAAAATACTTGGGAACAAATTTAACCAAAGAAACGCAAGACCTACATATCGAAAACTATAAACACTGTTAAAAGAAATTAAGGAAGACCTGAATAAATGAAAAAAAAAAAAAGGTTATGAAAAGAAGACATTTTAAGATGGCAATACTCCACAAATTGATTCAGTACAATCCCTAACAAAATTCCAACAGCCTTTTCTGCAGAAATGGACAGCTAATCCTAAAATCCCAATGGAGATGCAAAGGATCCAGAAAAGGCAAAATAATCTTGAAAAGGAGGAAAAAGTTTTTTTGTATTTTTTAGTAGAGATGGGGGTTTCACTGTGTTAGCCAGGATGGTCTCCATCTCCTGACCTCGTGATCTGCCCGTCTTGGCCTCCCAAAGTGCTGGGAATACAGGCTTGAGCCACCACGCCTGGCCTAACCTCAATTTTGAAAAAAAGTACTACAGGCCGGGCACGGTGGCTCACGCCTGTAATCCCCGCACTTTGGGAGGCCGAAGTAGACAGATCACTAGGTGAGGAGTTCCAGACCAGCCTGGCAAATATGGTGAAACCCTGTCTCTACTAAAATTACAAAAATTAGCCAGGCATGGCGGCAGGCGCCTGTAGTCCCAGCTACTCGGGAGGCTGAGGCAGGAGAATTGCTTGAACCTGGGAGGCGGAGGTGGCAGTGAGCCGAGATCACGCCACTGCTCTCCAGCCTGGGCAACAGAGCGAGACTCTGTCAAAAAAATAAACAGACAGACAGACAGACAGACAGACAGACAGACAGAAAAGGAAGGAAGGAAGGAAGGAAGGAAGGAAGGAAGGAAGGGAAGGAAGGAAAGAAAGAAAGATATACTACAAAACTATAGTAATAGAGACAATATGATACTGGTATAAGGACAGACATATAGATCAATGAAACAAAACTAAGAATCCAGAAATAAGTCCATATATGTATGGTCAATTGATTTTTAACAAGAGTGCCAAGATCATTCAATGGGGAGACAGTCTTTTCAACAAATGGTGCCGGAACAACCAACTAGCTATCCATATGCAAAAGAATGGATTTGGACTTCTACTTCACATCACATACAAAAATTAACTCAAAATGGACCACAGACCTAAAAATGTAAGAGCCAGCACTATAAACTTTCATGCTTCAAAAAACACCAATGAAGGACATGAAAAGACAATCCAATGGGAGAAAATATTTTCAAATCATGTATCTGATAAATTTCTAGTACCTAGAATATTAAAAAGGACTCTTACAACTCAACAATAGAAAAAAAAAAACAGCCGGGCGCGGTGGCTCAAGCCTGTAATCCCAGCACTTTGGGAGGCCGAGACGGGCGGATCACGAGGTCAGGAGATCGAGACC